TCTTCTTTTCCTATAACAGAAATAGGGGTTCAGCCCCTATATTTTTTGAATTTTCTTTTCTTTCTTCTTTTTCTTCTCATGAATATGTTGGAATATGTTGATTTTCTATACTTAAACATTTAGTTTATACTTTTCTTATGAAAATTATGGATATTTATTAAGGAAATATGATTATGGAACCTAGGGAACTACCCTAGGATAGATGTTTTTACTTAAAAAAATCCATCGCCTAAGCGGCGACAAGGCGCCCCCCTGTCGCCTAGCCTCACCTTGGCGCCTTGAAAACTATGTCTCGAAGCACCAAGGTTTTCATGCGGTGCTCATTTCGTGACAGATACCCTATGAAAACTGACTACGCCTGGAATAAGTCATCATTGTATTGTGCAGGACACTGGAAGCAGTCTTTCAATTACCTCGGATGTAATGGGTGAGGAATTTCTTTTTTAGTTTAGTTTCCTCCAAGTATAAATGCCCTTTCTTGTTTTCTAATAGAATTCTCTTTCCATTGCTGACCAACAAAAGGAGGGCTGAGGGGACAAATCTTAGCAAAAACAAAGGGGTCATCTGATATATTTTTTTTATCAATAACAACAGATTTCATTAAATAGGATTAAGCTTACAAAGAAAAGGAGCTAAAGAATCTTAACTCCCCAGAAGTTGGGTAGCCACCCAAACTGAAATAAAAACAATTACAACTGAGCCCAGAAACCAGAAACCCTATTCACCCCATGCCTAGCTAATCCATCAGAAAAGGAGTTTGCATTTCTCTTTATCAGCCATTTGAATTTTCTCCTTTCATTGCTGTAGCTCCAAAGCTTAGAAGTGTCTTCTTTTAGCCAGTTCACTACAACCACAGAATCTCCCTCTATAATCAGTATCTTAACATTTAGGTCTTTAGCCCTTTGTACCCCTTCCAAAGCTGCTAACACCTCAGCCCTCAAAGAGTCTCCCACTCCAATTGGGACAGAAAACATAGCTATTACATTCCCCTTCTCAACTCTTAGCACCACCCCAATACCTGAGGGTCCTGGATTCCCCATGCTACTGCCATCAAAATTTAGTTTGATAAAACCAGGAGGTGGAGGGTTCCATGTGGGATTCGAGGTCTTCTTAATTGAGACTGAACTTGCAATTTCTTTCCATTTTCTTAACATATCATCCATTGAAAAATCTGTGAACTTGTCCATTGTTTTCAACCAGTGTATTACCCTTATATGGATCACTTCTAGCATAGTTTCCAACCCTCTCTCCTTTTCTGAAAAAACCCTTTAATTTCTTTCATCTGATAATGGCTAAAGTGGCTGAGCTGAGTGACTTATTACTTTGTTTTTTAGTGGATAAACTAATAAAATAATAGAAATGCTTGTGTACAGTAACCAACACAACTTCAGTTTCAGCAATTAACTACCGTGCAACCTTCTTGTAACTTATTCACTATAAGTTACAAAGCAATAAGCCATTCAGTTCAGCCATTTCAGCTGTTATCAAACAGCTCCTAACTGAATCTGCTAGAGTGCAAAATTTGGGGATACATCTATTAAATAAATTTTAAGTTGCATTTGAGTTTCAGTTTAACAATGTATTAACAGTTCCACAAATTCACTATTTTCTTAGATATAACCGCTTTGTCAATGCAATATATGGATCAAGCATGGATGTTATTCAATCATAGGTACTAACAACTGCAATATTAGAAAACAATTCCCTTGATCTCACTCTAAACGCTGCAATATTAGAATATTTAATTGTTTCCAAAACCTTCCCATTTTTGTAATAATGGTATACGAGAACCCTTGATGATTAATTTCATGTTTTTTCCAGGTCTAAAAGGTAAGGTGTTCTTCACTAAAACTAGTGACTTGGAAAAAGAATCAGAAGAAAAATTCACCTTGCAAGACAAGATATTAATCAGGCAAAGATGGGGGAAAAGATAAAATTTTTCACAGAACTCAGGATCTTCAAGAAGGAAAAAAAATGTGGTAATGTGCTTACTTGAAACATTTGTGATTACGTTTGTGCTTTTTTGAGCAGTAAGTGCTTTCAACTTATTTCCCGTAGCTAATAAAAGCAAGCTCTTCATATGCTGCTTTTGCTCCTTAGGGCTAGCTGTCTTTGTCAAAGCTTCTTCAAAAGCAAGCAAGTCATTGGATGTAATACAAGGAAGACAAAGCAGAACCTGTAGTCCACAAATAGGAACCAACCTTATCATCCAAAACCTTGACTAAGATTCTGATTCATTGATTGAATCTCACAATCCTCAATTTAAAATTTTAACTGTATCAACCAATAACTAAATGACCGACTGCAAAAGACATGTCAAGAGCGATAGAATCCCATATCTCACAAGCATTCACCCAAGACTAAAAAAATCAAGATATATCAACAAACCTGTCTAGGAGAGGGGTCCCTATCAGAGAGATATATGAAAATTTCCCGACAGAGGCCAACAAGGTCTGCACTGATAATGGCATTTGATTCAAGGCTCAAACCTTGGATAATTGCATAGAACAAGTCCTTGGCAACAAATTCTCGAAGTTCAATATTATTTGTCGAAATAGCTAGAAGAATCATAGCTCCACAGAAAGAAGAAATTTTTGTGACAGCTTCACCATCTGTCCATGTAAAAGCTTCTATACTTATTTGCAGTGCTGGAAGAGCTGTACCCTTGTGTTTCAAGAGAAAGCTGCAAGTGGACAACTATTTTAAGAAAAATGATGCTACTTGAAAAAAAAAACAATCACTAAGAACAAAAGTAGGACTTCGGTAATTAAACTATACCCAACCAAGGAGTTCGTGGAAAAAGCATCCAAGTCTTTGAGGGAGGATGCCTCTACCCGATTAACATGTCCAAACTGTTCCAAGGAAGGGAGTCCATTGTTTAGCCCAGGTGAAGCTAAAACTGAGAGTAGATAACATATTTCACGAGTTAAATCCCGAAGCAACTTTTCCTCCATCACTTCTATCTTTAAGTCTGATCCAGTGAGGATGCCATGCATATCTGGAACCTTTGCTCTACCTTCCCTTAGAAGGCTGGACCATGAACAACTAAGAGCTTGCTGACAGTGGAGAAATAATGGATGCAGGAGCTTCTCTAGCCACTCCGCCCATAAATCTGAAGGGCAGAACTTGACTAATGGAATCAGAACTAAGTGAACAAGCTGCCTTATATGCCTGAATTCCATTGATTGTATATTCTCCATAAGAGCTAAAGCAACAGAGTGACTTTCCATGGATTTGAAAAAGGAATCCCCAAGAGTTGTTGATAGGCCCAAAACGTTGTACCTAAAATATGGAAGATGCGTTAGACTTCCAACAATTACTATTTATATTTGGGCTGCTTAGTAGGCACCTAAGGGTATCATTGTAGTTTTACTATTTAATATAAAAGCTAATGATAGAGGGACATGAGAAAATGGATATGAAGTTGTATTAAACAGGAATAACCCATATTAAGAAAAGCAAATAAAAGGTTCCTACAATTGATCATGGGGAAAACCTTTACATAAGCATCTTATTCTCCTAGCTTATTAGAAAATTCAAAGAGTCTTATTCCTTCTGTGCTGATCGAAACTCTAACTAATTTCAAGGTGCCAACCAGCTGGTTGCTAAGGTCTCATGCTGGTCGTGGCAGAGACGGGATCGAATCCTGCCTGCACCTGGGTTGGGGGATGGGCTACCCCCTGTTGTGTAGCCCTTCAAAAGATATCAAAAAATATTCCATGAGAGTAGCCATGCTGTTAATGTGTAAGCCAAGTAAAAACCTCGGAAAAAGTCCACCTTCAGAAAACAAAGTAGAAAAGTTATCATCTTTAAATACATTATGAACAGCCAACCAGTCACTTGATGGAGGAATATCCCTCCTTGATCTTGATAGCAGAAAACAGGAATGAAAAGGTAGCTGGGCTGTTTGACTGGGTTGGAGGTGTTGGAAGTTGGAGTCTAACCTTTAGGCATCAGTTAAATGATTGGGAAATTTCAGATCTGTTGAGTTTGTTGCAACTGCTTGAAAATCACAAACCTGCCCAAGAGCTTCAAGATGAAAGAATATGGAGATGGATCAGAGATGGCAAATTTTCTGTGAAATCCCTTTACCTGAATACAGAGCCCCTCTGTAGAGGGAAGGGGTAATTTCGTCATTATACTTCTCTTTTGTACCATATTATTAGTACAGTGTCTATAGTAGACATCTCTGTACCTTAGTGTACTTTATTTTCTTATGTAAGGGCAGTGTTGTACTTTTGCCCCTTTTAATATAAAGCGATGTTTCCTGGTTGGGTCGAGACATTAGAACCAACCAAACAGTCTTGGTGTTTTCTGCTCTTTCTCCCTTCTTTGTCTCAGTTTCTAGGTTAATACCCTCTCCCTCAGGACTTTCCCTGGAGGGATATTTGTCTTCCTCAAGTCCCAACTGAACCAAGGTAAGCTTTTTCATGTGGTCAGCTGTAAAGGGCAAATGCCAGCTGAAAGAACAGTTAGACAGGAGAAGCTTGGTGCTGGATTCTATGAACTGCAGTTTATGTGGCCAGGAAACAGAGTCAATCGGCCATCTCCTTGCACTGTAAAGTAGCTTTGGCTCCTTATATAACTATTTTCACAGGAGGTTGAACCTGTGTTGGTGTCAGCCTAGAAGCCTAGCTGAGTTGGTGAAATCCTAGAAGATTCTAGGTTTAAATAAGAAAGGGAAATTTCTTTGGAGCACAATACCTTCGGCAATATGCTGGGTACTATGGAAGGAGAGGAACAGGAGAATTTTTTAAGGAAGGAGCAGGGGATTGGATGAGTTCTGTCAGCAGGCAAGGACTCCTCTGCATTCCTGGAAAGCAGCCAAAGAGCAGCTCAACAAGATCCCACATGATCATTTTTTTTTACTATTCTTAATCCCTTACTTACCACAAAAGTTGGGCTGACATTGTTTTTTAGTTTGGGTGAATTTTTTGAAAATACACTCAGATCTGATGTATAATTTCTGGCTGTACATTTGCACATATGCAATACAGTTGTAATCTGAGTATTAAAGAACACATTAATACAACTGTACTTTACCTTCTCTCAAACAAAAATTAGGGTAAATTACAGATAGGTACCCTGTACTTTAGCGGCAGTGACACTTAAGTTTTAATAGAGTTGGAGAAGTGTATATTTTTAAAAGTTTAGGGAACAAAAATGTCTCATTTGAAAGTTCAGGCCCTTAAGTGTCACTACCCCTAAAGTACATTGTACTTGCATGTAATTATAGTAAAGGAAATCAACCAAAATGAATTTGGTTCAAACAAAACGAACAATTTGCAGGGTAAAATCTGTATTTTGGTTATTAACTCGCTTGAAACAACTTTGATTAAACACAACTAATCCATTAATACAATCCAGAAAAAAGTAGTTCATGAAAATTAAATTTCTTTTGGAATCTACAGTTCGTTCTTCTCTTAAAGAACATAGGTTAAAAAAATATATTATTTCCATAGACTGCATTTGACAAGTGCGAGAACATGGGTTCAAATCTGAGAGTGGCCACTTCATGCAAGAAAATACCAAAGGTTAAATCCATATTCTTCCACTCCTTGCAAGACCCCAGATAGCCAGAATCAACACTGGGTAACGACTTTTTTTACAAATTTTCTTCTTACAGATCATAATGTTCAATTGGGAAATGTTGTCTCAAGGGTAATATATACACATATGTGTCTGAGTATCATGTCTAAGCATAGACTAGACATGATGATCAGTTACCTGGGGAACCCGACAGAACATTTGATGCATTAAAAGTACACTAAAATATTTATGAAGGCATAATCTCATTCTGACAAAGTGAAATAATAATAGGTAAACTCCAGCCACTAAATTCTTCACACGTTATATTTACAATGCTTCCGTGATGCTTGCAGACTAATAAGATGGAATAGAAAATTTACCAATTGTAGACATAACCCATAATGTCAAAAGAGCAGCTATTATCAAGTTCAAATATAAACTCCCAAGTTCCAAAGATCCTAAATGTAACCTCAAAAATTTTCATACTTACCCACTGTCTCTGATACCTTTCAACCAATTTCTTATGTCATTTTCGTTGGGCTCCACAAATCCTTCCTTGTTCATGTCAATCTGAGATCCATCTGTGAAAGTTAATGCACCCTTTGATGGTTTAGAGTTCCCTTCCCCAAGAAGACTAGCCCGTTCAATGTCACTCATGCTCATTGCAGCCTTGAACTCTCCTGGTAAGGTTTGAGCTACTGAGGGAGACCAGAGAGAATGTATAGCACGAAGCAGCTGCAGGTCAACAAGGACAAGCTGGAGATATCACTATGCTATATATTTGTCACAAGAATTACATATGTTGTATTATATCAAAAATTATACACCCTTCCCTCCCTCACCAAGCCCCAGTTCTAAACTACACTAATTGTAGTTAATAATAACATAGAGAAGGAAATACAACATTATCCTCTTTATGAAGGAATAAGGATATACTTACTCTTAAGAGAGGAGGGAGCATCCACAACAAATGAGAAGCCATAGGATGTGAAGGAATAGAACTCGATACTGATGCATTTTGCAAATTTAAATTGCTTTTTCTAACTCCACTCCTTTTAAGAGCCTTCTCAAAGAATGTTACAGTATGGAAAATTGACCACATAAATGATGTCTCAGAGCACAAGTGGACCAGTCCTGCTGGCTCAGACAAATAAACACATTGCCATTCTACCTGCATCCACTGTTTACTCAAAGGTTCAAGTAACCAAGCCAAAACTTCTTGCTGTTGCTGAATCCTGCACCAGTATTTGGAGGCTTCAGAAATTATTCTTCCAATAAAATGCTGGAATATGTATGAGTGTCATGGGAAAACAAGAAACTACCCAGCAGCAGAAGCCATAACAAGAAATGCTTCACCTAGAAGATTATGTTCCCCACGAAGTAAACGCCCTTCCCTTTGCAGATAGCCCATGGTGTCAGCAATTACCTACAAATCATACTGAACAGAGTAAACAAACACAAGAATATTTCCCTTGATTTAACATCTACACTTAAGCAGGCAAATATTGGACTTACATTATCTTTCTTATTAATTTCATCTTGCTGAATCCATGAAGAATCATAGTCATCAAATATATTAAATTAGGGTGCATTTGTAGTAAACCACTACATGTTTCACTATCTCAGACGTCATTATATCAATATTTGCCCAAATTTTTAACAAGCTTCTGGAGAAATGCCCAGAGATCATTGTTTCATCTTTCATCTTCTTGCTCTTTTCCAAATGATAGCTAAATGTTAACCATGCTAAACAAGTGGTGCCTCATGGTCCTGTATCATGCTTTTGCCCTAGAAATAATGCAAGTGAAGAAGAAAGGTCTTCTTGTGATTTTCCTGCATTTAGAGTCCAATTGCCCTAAGTGATCTCTAGAGGAGGTTCTGACTAAGAGATCCATAGCCCTTGGGTGAAAATAGAATCAGTTGTGGAGAGTTTTGATGTATTGTACTACTATATCCCTGTTGTACATTGCATATTTTTTACTTCTCTTTTTTTATCCCTGTAAGGACTTTCTTGTAGTTGTGCATATCATTAATATATATAGGACTCTTTGGGGGTGGAGGTTATTTTACTCTATTGACATCCCTGAAACTGTGTGTTCTCATTGTTCAAATCACCAAGTCAGCATGGTACAAAACGGGTGTTTCAAGAGGCTTTTATTCTATCTTCAATTGCTGGTTTGAGAGTTCTATGAAGGCTGTTTCGATCAGCACAAAAAGCTGCTGTTTTTCCTGTAAAAGGCACCTAGCAGGCAGGTATTTTGTTGATTCCTCTTAATCACCTGATTCAATCAGCCTAGGTTCTTAAATCTGGTGACACCTTAGGGTTCTCTCTATCATCTCTCTTGATTGGCTCGAATTTTTTACCTGTTTTGAAGGGTTTTGGATCCCTCCTTTGGATTGGCAATCCTTTAACTTTCCTTTTTAGACTATCATCTCTAGAAACTTGCTGTTAAGGATTTCTTCTTGAATAATCCTATTCCTTTCAGTGGTTGGTGATCCCCCCAAGTGTTTAGACTGGACTTTGATCAGTTTTGATTGGTAGGTTGCTTGTTTCTCTCACTTTTAGTATAGATTTCAGTGCTGTTTTCTCCCCAGATTGTGTTTATTTCTTGAAGATAGCTGAAAAAGTTGATGTCATTCCTTTGAAGTTTGATGGAACTAATTACAGCATGAGGAAGTTCAATTTCAATTTCTTTGTTGAAGGCCTAGAGGGTTACTTGAATGGAACGGTTGCCAAAGCTCTTCAGCAATGGAAAGTTGATAATGAAAAACTAGTCTCTTGGAATAGTGCTCATATTGTTGTACCTATAAGAAGAATGAGCCAGCTTATGAAATGTATGCTTATCTGAAGAAGGTTTATCATCTGAATCGAATATGAAATTTTTGCTTACTGTCTTCCTTGACTTGTGGGCTGAATATGAATTAATTCACATTGATCCATCAGACTCTTCAGAGTGTGTTAAGTATCTTCAGAAACATTTTAAGAAGAAAAAGGTAAACCAATTTCTTATGAAGCTTCAACCTGAATATGAGATAATATTATAATAAGGTCTAACATTTTGAATAGGGGTACACTTCCAAATTTGGATTCAGTAATTGGAGAACTGCTTACGGAGGAGTCTAGACTTGTGATTGTTACAAGTATTAATGGGAAATGATAGATTTTGGGGCTGACACTACTTTTTAGCCAGCCACCCACATAACTAGCATTCCTTTTTCCAAGTTCACTTGCAGCAACAATACAGCCTAGGATGCATCAGGGCACAAATAAAACATGGCCACATTGCTCATATTTAAAAGATCTTACAAAGAGTACCCAAATCAAAAAATGAACTATAAGGGACCCCCCTAAAGCACCTATTCATAGTTGTCAAGGTGACACCTAGGCAACAAGGCACCCATGGAGGGTAACTCCTGCATTAGCAAGCCAATTACATCAAGTCCCTTGTGAAAGATCTACTGCATTAGTGATCCCATGAATAGGCCAAGCCCTAATGCATTAGCAATCCCATGAACAGGCCAAGCCCAACAATTTATTTCAAGTTTCCAACCACCTAGATGCAGCCTGCAATATAAGGCTGTCATGCCTATTGACTGTAATTGTTGCTACTGTTTAATGGGATATACAAATATGAAATATCTAGTAGTTTCCATTTTCCACTAAAAGGAATAATATCTATTGAAATATAATAAAAATTTTTAAGGTACTCTTTATGATACTGGTTCAGAGAGCATGAAATAACCTTCATATGAGGAAGGAGGACCTTATCAGCAGCTTTAGCAATCCGAATAAATGAAGAACAAATTTGCAACCTTGCATGGCGAGCACTATTGAGTGAAGGATCCTGTCAATCGCATAGATGGTTTATAATGATCAAGCTGAAAAATTACAATGACTGAATGACATGTCACAGAAACTCCATAAAGAAAGTGATATTGAAACAACCTTAATTGCAAAAGGAAGTGAGGTCAGCAGTTCAAAAAGTTTATTGATGACACCACCAACTGCATCTGGAAAATATTTCAGGAAAGGCCCTAATGCATCTAAATAGCGCCCAAGTACTTCCACTAGTGCTGGCTCAGTCCATTTCAATGAAAGAAATTGCTGAAGTAGACCTTCATTAAAAGAAAAGACAATTATTTTGCAAGCCCTGGAATGAGGAAAATTAGAAGCTCGCATAATGTATGAAGAACTCACTGGACAACCTTCAAATATTCTACATAGTGTGATCTGAACTTCAGAACTACCCCCACCAAATTCAGTTGATCCATCAAAAATTACACTCACAACAGTCTCCAGTGCCAGTTGCAAGCTGTCCATTATAGCTAACTCCTGAAATTTTTCATAATAAAAAAATTGTAAATGTGTGACAACAAAGAATAAACAAAGTACAACCACAAAGAAATCCAAGATAGCAAATTCAATAACTTTAGACTTCAAAACCAAATTCATCTATGATGTTTTTATAACCAAACCTGAGCAGGCTTTGGTGCATGCAAAAGGCTCTTAATAACTGTATCAATTCTCTCAGAAACCCTGGATGCAGCTACAAAAGGTTTGTGGGAAGAAACAAATCGGATCAACTCCAACTGCAACAAGAGCCCATGCATCAGACTTAACAATAGAGTCATTGAATTAAGCAACCAATGTACAATGGCAAAAAGGGCAATAAACAAATATCAACTGAATTATTAAGTGGGCTGTGCTGTATAAGGAGTTCTCTGGCTTGAGATTTTCTGTTTGTAGTTCCCACTTCCCAGTGCAGAGGGTTATTTGGGATGATCAATTGTAGTCTGAAATCTTTTTTTTTTATTTTTGTTTGCATTCCTGTGGGGAACATCTCCTTCCTTTTGCTTTATTAATGAAATCTTATTCAACCTTTCAAAAAAAATATATATATATATATATCAACTGAATTAGGTTTTCTCTGAAAGCACTACATACAAATAAATTAACTATAAAGAGAAATTTCTGTTTGGGCCATGTGCATAGAAGGCCAACTACTGTACCGATAAGAAAAAGTGAAAAGTGATTTGATGCTTGAGGGTCTAGAAGGGCCAAGAGGTGGCCAAAAATAACATGAGTTGACATAGTAAAAAATGATCTGAGGGCTTCTAATGTAACCATGGATATGGCCCTAGACAGAGAGTAATGGCAAACAGAATTTATGTATAAAGAGGAAAATCCATGCCCACCAAACTGTAAAAAATTTACCAGATTGACCAGAGAAGGAGTAAAAAGAAGTACAAAGAAAATAAAAGGCACTTACAGAAATCCCTGAACCTAAATATGGATTTAGGGGAGAAAAGGGGAAAAGTACAACATGGTGCAGAAATATAATATACTACATGAAGTTCAGTTATAACTTACAAGGACATCATAATATGTTAAACAAATATGAATAAGGAACACAGACAAACACAGCGGTGGGAGGGGGACCAATTATTAACCTAAACTAGCAGACAAACAAAGAGTTCATCCTAAGTCCATAGAGAGAAAAGGCTTGTATAGATATTCAACAAGGATAACTAAATGTTCAGTATGAATACATACAAGCCTAGAACGATATTGGCTAAATTCTCCCTTGCCATCAAATTCGTCACTCCACAACTCCAGTGCCCCTAGAGACAGAGCTGTTCCAGGTGGAACTTTTTCTCTCTTTAGCATACGCTGAAAAGATACATCCAGAATAGCACTACAGATATCGTCATTAACGAAATTCAAAATTCCTTTCTTTTCCTTATCAGCTTGTCCAGAAGCAGAACTCAGATTGGAAACAGCAGAACCATCCCCAGTTGCTTGCGCAGCAGCCTTTGGCTTGGCCAACAAGTCCCTCATTAGTGCCTATCAGGAAAAAGAAAGAAAAGAAGCACAAAAAATCGTTAAATGGATTAATGGAGAATCACATACTCTAGCCTTGATTTTAATGATCACAATACCACACCAGTGAAAAAACCAGCAAGAGAGCTCCACATACCAGCCAAAAAAGCAAAGATTGAAAATGAAGAGCAAGCTTTATATGTTGAAAATATCCCAGCATCTGAGAAGGCAAAAAGGTGTAAGACTCATAAACTGTGAGCACATGGTTCAAATCAAAACTAAAGGTGGTTTACATGCAAATGAAATAACTCATAGTCTAGTTTTTTTTTTCTTTTTTTTTTTTTTTGAGAAGTAAAGATTAGTCTAGTATAAATGTATATTTTTTTTTTTATCAATAACAAGTTATCATTTATCAATATGAAATATTTCATAGCATTTACTCAACAAATATTCTCCGTTAAATATTAAAATCTTATTTACCCATGAGTAGTTAGGGATTAGTTAAGATTTGTGTACTGTAACATTTCTAAAACATTAACTTTCTCCAAAAAACAATATGCGAAATAAAATAGTAAAAATCCTGACAACCACAAATGATGATTTTCTAATAAATTGCCTAGCTAAAAGAAATGGTACACAATATACATGCAGAAGGGAAAATCGTTGAGAAAAAGTTAAAAGGCCACTAAATCCCCCCTCCCCCCCCCCCCCAAGAAAAGGCTTTAGCCTTAGATATGCTTGGATTAGGAGAGGGTCTACCACCTGTTTTACTCATGCAAGACATCAATAGCAGGAAAGCAAACCATTTGGGAGCCCAGGGTTTGGGGGGGACATAGTAGGGATCCCACTACTGCACTACATGCGTGGGAATTGCTCGGGAACTGCAGTAACACCCACAAATTCAAGTCTAGGAAGATTTATTAATGGGACTGGAGGTAGTAGTTGATGTAAGAAAGTCAGGGAAATTGGAGGAGAGATTGAACATTCTTCAAGCATGCTTGGTCGGTAGATTAGTAGGGAGAGAAGTGGAAATAAAGGACTTCAAGAGTTGGGTGAAGCTAGAATGGGGAAGAGAAAAAGGTTTTGGGAGTACGGAAACTGCACGCAGAGATATTACTGGTAATGTTTCACAGTAGACAATTTGCTGAACATATTTTAGAGGAAGAGAAAAAAAAAAGGTAAGAGATTTCAATTTGAGGCTGGATAGATAGTTGTCGGCAGCTGGAAGTGGTAGAAGGCAAGTGGAAGGGGGCAGTATGGATAGACATCATAGGGATCCCACTACATATGTGGTGTATCAATACATCCGAGGAATTAGCTGCCTCATGCAGAAGATTCATTAGAATGGACAACAGAAATAGGACTTGGGAGAAAATGGACATGGCAAGGATACTGGTTGAAGTCAAAAACACTTCTAACATTCCAAAGAGGTTGTGCTTGGGTTTCGCAGGTGAATGGCACGATCTGAGATTGTTTGTAGAAGGAGTAGATGGCACTTACAATAGAGCTGAGAGGTATCAAGGTGCAGAGACGAATCAGGACAAGGGGAGGAGAGAGGAAGAAGATCAAGCAGAGGAGGAAGGAGAGAGGAAGAAGATCAAGCAGAGGAGGAAGGAGAGAGGAAGAGATAGGGAACAGGGGAGGAGCTGAAGAGGTAAAGGAGACAAATAGACGAAGGGGAGAGGAAGAAGATGATGCACTGGCAGAATCATTAAGAAGAAGGAGGCGCGTGGAAGGCAAGGGTGAGGTGGAAGTTCAGCATAAGGTAAACTTGAAAGTTAGTGGGCCCGAGTTAGTAGGAGGAGAAAGTAGTAAAGAGGGGGGCGATTCGAAGGGGAAAGAAATCGTCACCAACCGATGTTAAGGAGGTAGGTGCTAAAAAAAGGTTACCGCTTCAATAGCTTAGCAGTAAACTTTAAAAGATGGACCAAAAAGAAAGGACGGGAGAACAAGAGGGTAAAAACGGAAGAACAAGCCTATGTTCAAAGAAAACCAGTTTTGAATGCTCGAGGTCCAAGAAACAAGAAAGCGCTGAGCACAAGGAAGAAGAAAGCAAAGGTTGGATCTGGGTGGTCACCAAGTATGAGAACATACGAAAGTTTAAGATTTTGGGCAGCGAGGTAGATAAATGAAGAGCGACAAGCTCAGCGGCAGGAGAGTTGCATAGAACAGATACAAAAGAGAAGTTTGTGGAGTCAGAAGGAAGTAAAGAGCCAAAAATCCAGGACGTCGAAAAAGATTCACCCAATAGGCTGAAAGAAGGGGTTTCCAATTCCAACTGCAAGACAGAGAGCTATAAGAAAGAGAAATCTCAAGGAGAAGAGGAAGAAGAGTCAGTGACATTGGGGAAGCTGCACATTCAGGAAGGGGAGTGCCTCCCGATCAACCAGGATTCGAGTCCTATAGAGAATACAGAAAAGGAATTAGAAGGAAAGAAAGAGAGTATGGGAGTGTCGATTCAAGTATCCTGATATCATCGCTCAGAGTTGAAGGGGTAAGTCAGTCGGGCAAGCCGAACATTCTGGTGTTGGAAACTCCAAACAGAGAGGGGAAAAAGGAAAAGAAACAGAAGGAGGGACAGGGGAAAAAACTTCAGTTAAGAGATCTCTGAGAGAGAAGAAAGGGGGTGGAAGACGAAACAGGGTATACAATAGAAAAAGAAGACCTAAAGACTCTTCTAAAAGATTAGTAAGTAGGGGAACAAGGGGGGGAAGGTGAAGGGTCGGTGATTGGGTAAAGGAATGGAGAGAAAGATAAAGAAGAACACACAAAAAGATCACGAAGTTGAGGAAATAATACAAAATGGGAAGGTAAATATTAACAAACTGGTGGAGAGGGAGGTGGAGGTTGGAAAGTCTCTCAAGCTAGTCTTCTGGGGAGGGGAATGAAGGGATGAGAGATCCATCACATGGACACCCAAAGATTGCGGAATAAGGGGCGAATTTCAAAAAAAAAATTATCTCCCTTCAACTGGGAATCACATTCCCTATTTAGAAAATCATATTTTCAATGATCATTCTTGAACCTTAAACTGAATCAGATCTGAACCAAAAGGAGTAGG